GAACACTGAAATGGTGAACAATTAATTTCACTATATTCAATATGGTACAACGTAAAAAACTTTTGTTTCCAAATTAAAAAATTAAGAAATTTTTAAAATTAAAACCACTCCTCATAGCATTTCTCATCTCAGATCTCTCTTACTTCCAATGCATCCATTACCTGTTCCATGATTTTATACCTCATTTAGTAATAAGGTACTAGAAATGCGTTCATGCGGTTGATGAAACCTTTAGGAGCCGTCGTGAAATCACCATAAAAACGAAGGCCGCAATTTGTTCGATCTTGCTATGTCTGCGAAACATGACCAGTGAAAGTGGAGGATTTTAAGGAATTATCTGCCTTTGACTGCTCATGTCTAATGAACATTTTACGGGTTCGCTGAGTGGATAAAATTTCAGCATATAATAGCATCCACCTTCGTTAACTTGCATTAACTATACCATTATAGAGAGTCGTCTTCACTGGCTAGGGCATGTTGACACATATTTCGTTAGTTGCAAAACCCTGTGGTGGGTGGTATCAAAAGCGAGCTGGGCCAATCAAAACTTGGACTGATACGTTCTTATCAAGCATTTCGATCATATAGCATTACCTAATCTGGTTAGATTATTTCAAAAAAAAGCGACTTCATTAACGAATAACGGATCCATTACTTGCAATAGTCATTTTGAGGGCCCTCTTTTCAATATAAAGGCGAACAAGCGCTTGACAAACAATCTAGCAACCATGCCCAGCTGAAAAATCTTTCGTATAGTTTCTCCTTCATCTCTAGATTGCGTTCCTCGTCGCCCTTAATTGCATGGTTTTATTTTACATTACTTATTCTCTATTTATTTGTTATTCTTATTGCCATTATTTTTATTATTTTATGCTGAAGAATTGATGGATAACTTTCTATGTTCTAAACCCTGTGATAGTTGGTGTTAAAAGGACCAAAAAAACGGTCAGATTTTGAGCATATAGGCGGCTCAGCGATATATATAGTTTATACGGTGGAAAAAGAAATTTCAGATAATTATCACTTGTTAGACTGGCTTCGCTGGCTACGATAATGATAATGACAAATTTCGCATATCAGTGATAAGTGCTGTTCTAAAAATTGAATAACTCAATTTACTTGGTATGTAATGGATGGCATACGCTCATCAATTTTGCGATTTTTGTGATGTGAAGCATTGTCACTTTTAATAAGCCAGAATAAGAACGACGAACAACGGTTGAACTTTCTTCAGTACGAATTTTATTATTTTAGAGCGAATTTGGTTATCTGTTTACATTTTCCTGCATAATGCGTGCATTATCGATGATGTTTTTCGTCAAAAATTTTGTTTAGGTGAGCGGCGACTTTTTTCTTTTTATGGCAATTTTAATCGATTTATTAGGGATTTCGTAGAATTTTTTAAAATTACTTGTTTTTCGGGAGTAAATTCTTACGGAAAAATCCAAATTAAAATTAGAAATATTCGGGAAAATTTTTTTCATTGGTTTGTCAAATATGAATGAATGAATGAGGCGAACGTGTTTCATGCAAACTTGCCAGCTTCCCACTTCACTTAATTCCCACTTTTCGTCGTTTTCCCTCCTAAATTTCCCATTTTTATTGCTGTTTTGCATATGTTTTTCTGCCGTTCCCTCATAAATTTCTTAATTTTCTTATATTTATTTGCTATTATTATTTTCATTGTTGTTGTTACTATCATTGCTACTTTTTTTTTTGTTTTTAAGAGAAAATCTCGTAGAATTCTTTTGAGATAGCTTTTAATGAAGTGTAAATTGTGCGAGAAATTTTACCTACTTTTTGCCGATAAAATCTCAAAATGCATTAAGGAGAGATTTAAATGAATGTAGGCCATTTGGCAGTTTCATTAGTGCAACGACAGCTAAGAGAAGACTGGGATAATCGGGAATACGCTCAAGTTATTTCTGATAATATCAAACATATCGCTGATTTTTTGGGAAATTTCGGTTAGTTTTAGTTTTCTGCTTCCATTTATGTTGATTTTTCATTCTTCTTCTTATAGCCTTCTTCTTCAAATTTTGATTAAAGTCCATTTGCTAAGGTCGTTCCGACGCCATGTCTGAAAATAATAAACCATAATAATAAAACAGTAAACCATCCTTTTTCTATTATTTAAACTCGTCAGGCCGCCTATCATCCATTCATAATATCTCTTGCCTATAGTAGCCCAGATCTCGATTACTTCTCCTTATTTTTGACGTCATCCAGTGCCTACCGAAATATCAGCTCATGTACTAGGTGGCTTGGTCCAAGAGAGTGGACGATGTCCTTTGATGGGTATTATTAATGTAAATGATGTTTGAGCGAAGGTAAATCCTGTCTTGTGAGATTCTACCCACTTGGCGGTCATATGTAATACTTAGGCATAAATAACCAAAGGTAAAATAATATTTTTCCACTCTTTTTAGTCACTTATCTCAGCCATATGACGCGACAGTATCCTGGTAGATGGTAATGATGCTGAGGGAGGAGAATGCTAACCGTACTTTAATTTCTTTCTTGGCCATTTGGGTCGATTTGAATTTGGATTAAAATCTTAAATGGCGGTACATTGTCGATATTTTGAAACGATATTCAACCTTCTTTTAATGTGAATATTTTGAATTCATCTTTCGTCTCGTCTATTCAGAAAAGAAAGCGCAGAATTTACCAGAGATTTCTACTAGGCTAATTCCTCTATAGCTTTCGCAATACATGCTGTTTTTTCGAGGAACTAAACCGTTTTACTCCATTAATTTGATATTAACTTATTCTTCCATACTAATTATCCACTGAAAGGGAGTTATGAAGAACAGCATTTGAGTCACGGAAATCTCCTTTTTTGAAGTTTTTAAAGTTTCTGAATAACGGAAAATATTTCTCTATCGCTATTGGCAGCTGGCAGTTGCAATTACTCGATAACGGTAATGAGTAACTATGGAGTGCCTATTATAACTGTCAAAAGATTACTTTCGATGTAGAAAATGTAGAAAGTTCTTTGCGACTCAATCACGATACATTATCTTTCGAACATAGCTGAAAAATTTATCTAATTTTTATTCATATTTTCATTACGAGGAGATGAAATAACTGTGACAAGCTGAGTTCGGTTTCGCGATGAGGTAGTGGTTAGCATTAACCATTTATGGTTTAATTTATTTCGCTGGATGAGATATTTTTTCCAGTGCATTATTTGGGATTTGGAGCAGGTGTGATCCAGCATTACTTGGATTTTTTTAATTGGATTTTTGCCAGTGGTAGGAATCGGAGATAGTTGCTTGAAATGGTATGATTACTCGCTTAGATTAGTCCTCGGTTTTGCGATATTTGAAATAAATGATGGTTTATAAATCGGTTGTTAATTCATTTTCTTTGCAGAATTATCGTGTCGAAGTAAAATCGCCGCTTTGAACGATAAGATTACAGTTTTAGAGAGAAAAATTGAATTTCTTGAAGCGCAGGTCGATAGTTTTCACATTTTTCCTTTTTGCTCTTTGAAAAGCCTTTTAATTCTTGGATATTCCTGCATTTCTTTTAGGGATTTCATGTGCAATCTTTTTATGGAATTAAAAACTACTATTTTATTATTTTTTTATTTATTTTATATCATTGTTAATGAAGCTTTCATTTTTTAAAATTGTTTTTTGCAGCTATCAAAAGGTGAAACTCTTAATTAATACTGATGGCAAATCATATCAATAAAGTTGTTTTATCAGCGAAAGGCACAAGTCGTGTGGTAAGACCTATTGTATCAACAACTAGCAAAGAAGCTCGTGCCTCTGTTCTTGCTGTTTATAAAGAATTGTTAGTAAATTTACTGCCGTTTAAAAGCGTTTGACTTGATTGTTGTATAAAATTCAAAAATAGTATTTATAAGTAATATGTCAATAATGCCAGCAAGTGGTTGTATAAATTCTTTAAACTTTTTGCCTATATTATCTTCACTCGTAAGTTTTGAAAAAAACTTTTGAACGAAAGTGCAAAGGTTAATCTGCCAAGAAGAAAATTATTGATTAGAAATTTTCGCTAGTTTTCCTTCAAATATCGGCATTAAGTCAAAAACACTGAAGTCTTTATAATATTTTTTTATTTGGTCTTGAGGATTCTGATTTTTTTTCGGCTCGTTCTAAAGGTGTATGTTTATTAAGGTTTGTTTAAAAATTATCATAATTATTCTATATGAATGAATGAATAAGAGAGCGCTGCGGTTTTAATGAGTTCAATCGTATATTGTTCGGCAGAGGACAGGTATAATTGCCTTTAATCCAAAATTCATTAAAAGTGAAACGTGAGGTAGAAAAAAATTGAAATTGAAATCTGGGCCATTTACATTTCTATCTCCAAAATGCCCTTCTAGTGCTTCATAAAGTCTGTGGGTCGCTCTGAGAGCCATTTTTTTTTTTAAGTTGCCATGAACTGTTGTAAATTCTATAGTGAGTGTTGTCATATCGTAAAAATTAATAGCGCCGTATATGAGTTTCTTTATATTGCAATTGTTTTCTTAGCTCAATGTTAAATTTTGCTAAATTGATTTTAAGTCGCTTTAACCATTATTTGTTTTTAAATATTAATAATAATTATTTCTCAGTCCGCACATTTGCTGATTCTACTAGGGAATGTGATGAAACGTTAATCATAATATGATAATTAAAAATAACCGAGTGGCTGGTACTTACGCTTACGCTTTACGCTTTCAGAACTTCATTGAATCATTGAATTTCAGGGATTAGGATTCTATTCCCTACAAGAAGGTGGTGCTGCTGATCTATGTGTTTTTATGGCCAAAAGATTACTAAGAACCTTAGTTGATTTCGTTAATGAATTTCAAAATAGGCAATAAAGGAAGTTATTGTATCTGCGAATTGTAAATTAGAATTTTTGAAAGAATCGAGGAGACAAACCCAAAAACTTATTTGAAATCTTCGGTTCATTTATATTCCACGAAAATATTTTGCGATGTTATAAGTATTGGATCGATTTGCTGGAATTAACCATTTTTGTCTCCTTTTCTTGTTTTCTCTCGTAAACGCTATTGTCTAGGTTCACTCTTCGATTTTTCATGCATTTTGTTTTGCATCCATTTGGTTTCACCAAAAACAAGAAAATTTATAGGAAAATTATATAAAAAAGAAAATTTACCTGAATTGAGCATAGATTTTAAATATAATGTGTAAAATAGAAATTAATTTCTTTAATAGTAATATTTGTTACCTGTATTTATTTCTTTAGAAAAGCAATGTGATAAAAAGACAGTAGCAGAGATAATGCAGTTTTTTGAACTTACCCGACTTTTTCTTCGTTGTATTCTGTGGCTTAGTTTGGGAGCTTTTTAGAAATCCTTGTTGGATTTTTTTTTTTATTGAGTTAGTGATTTAATCTTTTATTCATTTCATTGGGACGGTTAGTTTCATGGAAATATCCACATTCGATGTGAATACTTGAATATTTTTATATGAACAATATAATTCGTTTATCGTTGACAAATGGCGATTAAAGTAGAACTCGAAATAGATTTTTTTAAATCGGTTCTTCTGCAAATAAATCGAACGGAATTAATGATTTAGTATTTTCAAGCAGTTATTTGTGAATTTATGAGTGTTCTCATTCTTTCCATTTTTGAACAGAGATCTCACCGAATTTTGTTTTTTTTATTATGATTTTATTGGATAATGTGCAATATTCTGAGGAAGTTGAATTTCAGTTATATTACAATTATATTTTCTGAATATTAGATGGTAGAAAGAAATTTAATTATCAAGTCAATTTGCCTTTGTTCCATTAATATGGTGAATTTGATCAGATTATGCCTGCGATAAAAATGTTAATAAAATGGTACTTATTTCTAATGTTGTTTGTTCAACTGTATTTTTTTCAGTCAGCGTTTGGTACCTACGTTTTGGTGGAATTACGAATTGCAAGATATTCCTCTACCAGTTTTCCGTGCAATCATCAAAAAAGAATTTATAAAAAATGCACATTTGACGGATATTCGGATAATCGACAGGAAAGTCAGTGAATGTAAACAGGTTCAGTCATTGTTAAATTATTTTATATGCCTGTTGGCCCTGCTGAATCTCATTGCAGTGCAAATTCAGGCAATCGGTCAATGTTTACTTGTTTTTTTGTTCATATTTCATATTAAGATTGAAGTTAAGTTCATGTCAGATTTATTTCTATATCGAACATATAAATGTGGTCAGGCTGAATGAATTTAGAGAAGCAAAATATCTTTTGTTCTGCTCTAACATATGTGAAAAATATGAATAGTTAATTTCAGGATATGGTGAATATTCGAAACTCATTCTATAATGCTGACCATGTACGAAACTATCTTTTTCGAGAAAACCTTGAATCGAAGCCAAAGGATTTCCTTTCGAAATTTTTACAAGGAAAGGATTAAATGTTGTATATCGATCATATCGATTATATTTATTACTTTGTTAAGGAAATTCTTTTTTGGCTTGATTAAATTTTGGATTTGAATTGAGGAGATTTTAATATTATATTGTATTATCTTAATTAGTGTAGTAAAAATTTTTATTCGATTTATCCTCCTTTATAATATGCTTTTCGAAGCAATAATTATATACTGGCTAAATGTCTTATGAAGGAAGGTATAAATTGCATGTGAAAACTGTAGAGAACGATTAAATCCAGAAGGTCTTTATTCTTTTTTTTGAAACTATTGTAACTATTGTTTATTTGTTCTTTATTTGTTTTTAATATAATTTTAACGTTATATATAATCTGATAATTAATAATCTAAAATTAGAAATTTTTCATTGATTATAAAAGAAATTATACTTGTAGGATTGAAAGTATAGCTCTTATGCTTTCTAGCAAGAAGATATTTCATGTTATAACGTCAAATTTTCGATTTTTATCGAATAAAATCGCTATTAATTCTTTTCTTTTCGACATTCGCTATAAATCGAGCGATGCAGAAGAGATCAGTTATTTTGACAATCTTTCAATGCATTGGGCTGATGAAAGTGGTCCTTTCAGAGCTCTTCACGCCTTTAATCGTATTAGGATTCCGTGGCTAGTGGGAACTATTGGTGATAGAAGTGCTGTTTCATATGTAAGTTTATTGCTGAACTGAAGTTTTTTCATATTTGAATTTTGGTTGGAAAATTGGACTTGTTTTGCTAAATAAGTTTTTGGCTCTTTCATCAAGTTTTTCCAAGCAATTGGTTGATGGGTAGAATTGAGCAAATTATATTTGCTTTTTTTTTTAATTTGCTATATGTAATTTTATTTTTCAGAATAGCCTTCATGATCTGAAGATAGTTGATATTGGTTGTGGTGGTGGGTTATTATCTATACCTTTGGCACGCCTCGGTGCATCTGTTTCAGGTATAGACGGCTCTGTTAAAGCAATTAGTGTGGCAAATCAAGCTGCTTCGAAAATATTGAAACATCAAAGTATATCGGGCAAACTTTCATTCAGTTGTTCAACAGCTGAAGATTTTGCTGAAAAACATGCAGAAGGTTCTTTTTCAGTGAAATTTAAATCGAACCGATTCAATAAAAAAAATTTTTTTACTGGTACAATATAACTTTTCGAAATTTTGCAGAATTTGATGCAGTGCTAGCATCAGAAATATTGGAACATGTGAATAATATTCAATCATTAATTCATTCTTGTGTGCGCTTGGCAAAAAGAGGCGCTCATATTTTTTTCACGACAATCAATAAAACCACGCTCAGCCAGATATTAGCTGTTTGGCTTGCCGAAGTAAGAATTTTTTTTACTAGTATTTATTAGTTTTGGGTTGAATTTTTATGTATTGTAGTGTGATTTTCTGAATGAAGAATTTATGATCTTTATTTTAACTGTTTAGCAAAAAATTAGTGAATATTGAAATTTATTTGGAAATCTTTGTATATAAATCTAAAAATGAAGGCAAGTTGATACCAGTGATATTTATCTAGCCGAATTCAAATTTAGGACGTATTACATGTCGTTCCGTCAGGTGCTCATATATGGTCAAAATTCGTTGATCCAACTGATCTTCGAGCACTTTTGCATTCCAATAATTGTGAAATCCGTTTGATTAATGGTACTGCGTATAATCCTTTTACAAATAGTTGGTCATGGACAAGGTGTACACATGTTAATTATGTTCTTCTTGCTTTAAAGCAGTGACAATGACTAGCTTCTTCATATTATGTTACTGCGCTTATATTAGGGGTTACCTCTGCTTATCTGGTACAAAACTATTTTTAGGCTTATATTTGTTCAGTGAATTTTTTCTTATTATTTATAAAAGTTTTTAAAATTTTTTTAGTTAGGGTATTCTTAGAATTTTGTTTGGATTCTTCAGTTTTATATTTTAATTATATGTATTTCGTAATTAGATTTTGGCTGTGAAATTTGTTACTAATTGCATTTTACCACTTTCCAAACTTGTGAATTTAATCTTTTCTAAATGTTCATTAATGTGAAGATCTACCAATTTTTGTTTTTCTTTTGTTTTTTTTTATGCATTGCTTTGAATGAAATAATTTTTTTAAATTAAAACATTATTTTATGAGATTTTTATATTTCTTATAATTTGTACTTGATATTCATGATATACCTATTATTGGATGTTGGTTTAAATTTCTCCAGTTTGAAAAATTTTTTCTTTTAAATCTGGATATTTTTAAATATAAATTTTGTGTTCTTTAAAGTTATATTTCAATTTAAAGACGAATTGAATACTGTTTGATTAGTTGTACGGTATTTAAGTCGCTGGCTTTGGATTTCTATTTTACATTTTACATTGGAAGACGTTTTCCATAACTGAATCTTTTAGGTCACTCGTAATCTGAAAAAGAAAAGAGTCGTTCGAAATGGATGAAGAATACGACGCGATTGTTCTTGGAACTGGTCTAAAGGTTTTTTTTTGTGCTTACTTGCATGAAAATTTTCATACCTTTATTAGCTCTAAAAATAATTTTATTGCAAATGACCATATTTTAGGGAATGTTAAGCGGTTAAAATCATTTCACCATTTCTTAGGCTGGCTGTCATATTCTGTTATCTGCTTTTGGAATATAGAAATAGTGTCTCCAACATCAACCTGATGAGTCTTATTCTTCTAATAGTTCTGACCATTACTGGTTAGGTTGGCTCCACTAGCTGCAAGGGTAAGACGTCTCCATGCTGCTCAGTCCGACGCCATCGCTAGTAATAATAGAAGCCATTCCTTTTTCCATTGTCTAAGTCCATATATTGCTGGTCATCTGTACGTTCAAAATCTTTCCTGACCATATCAGCCCAGGTCTTGATTGGCTCACCTCGTTTTTAACACTAACCATCACAGAATTTAGCAAGTAATAACGAAATATGCGTCAATTCCTGTGGTGCACGATGGAGGACGTGCATTAACCAGCGAAGGCTACATTCTGGGATAACATTATTAATACAGGTGGTATTTGAGCGAAGGTGGATATAATCATATGCGATTTTATTAATTCTACAGATACCGTAAAATATATCTTAGATATGAGTGGTCAAAATGGGTAGCTTCTCAATATCTTCCACTCTTATTGGCCATGTTTCGCAGCTATATAGCAAGATCGAGTTAATTATAGCTATATGGAGTTAATTATAACTATTAGATTTTTGTCTTTATGGTGATTTCGTGATGATTTCATAAAGGTTTCATGAATCGGAAAACATTGTCATTTCTAGCTGTCATCTAGGTTGCAGTTTTATCTCGTTTGCCTGGACATTTGGGATTAGAGTGGATCCAAGATATTTAAAGTCGGACACTCCGTCAACCGGCAATAAATTGATAAAATAGGTATTTTATCCGCATCTTGTATATATGACGAAAGTGTCGTTTTATTTACATGATTTTGAGTCCAACTCGCTGCGGTTGTTAATACATTATTTAACATTATTTGCATTTTATTATAACTATTAGCAAAAAGGACTAGATCTTTGGCGTATTCAAAGATCTATGTTACTCTGGACTGATTTTTATACCTCTGTAGTACTTTCAAACGATGTCCATTATCCAGTCTATCGCATAGTTGAGTACTGTAGTTGAAAGGATGCAGCCCTTACGGATACTATTTCTTATTTCGAAAGAATTTGTCAGTTCCCCATATATACAAATAGGGTAATATGCCTTAAAATGCTTTTATGAGCCGAATGATCTTCTGTAGGATTGTCACATTCCATCACTTTCCAGAGCGTTACTTTGTTAGTCGGATCGGTGGGCTGGCTCATGTAGTCTAAATTAAATTTCATACCAAATTCTGTCTTTTAATTAAATTTTAATTAAAGAATTATAGGAATGTATTCTTTCCGGCATGTTGTCTGTTTCGGGTAAAAAAATTCTCCATATCGATCGTAATAATTATTACGGCGGCGAATCTGCATCACTTACACCACTTGAACAACTTTATGAAAAATTTCTTGGTTCGTTTTTCCCATAATTATTAATGTCCCATATTTTCATGTTCTGAGAAATTTTTTTATCATTTGATGGTATATTTTTGTTTCATTACAGTAATTTAGGGCCAAATGCGAGACCGCAAACAGATATGGGTAGAGGACGAGATTGGAATGTTGATCTTATTCCCAAATTTTTGATGGCTAATGGTTCTTTAGTGAAAGTTAGTTTTACTTGATTTTGCAAGATTTTTTTTGAAGAAATTTTCATTTAAAAAATTTCTAACTAAATTTATAAATTTTATCCAAACTCTTTTCAGTTGCTGATTCATACTGGTGTAACACGTTATCTAGAATTTAAGTCAATTGAAGGCTCTTTTGTTTATAAAGGCGGCAAAATCTATAAAGTACCAGCTGATGAGATGGAAGCGCTTGCAACAAGTATTTTTTAAGCTTTTATACACAATATATCCTGATAGAAATATTCAATTCTGGTCATTTTAAAACAAAATTAATTCAAATGTAAATATTTAGATATAATTAGACATTTACATTTAGATCTAATGGGAATGTTCGAGAAACGCCGTTTTAAGAAATTTTTAGTGTGGGTCCAGAATTTCGATATGAACAACAAAGAAACTTATGATGGCCTTGATCCTAATTCGCACACAATGCAACAAGTTTGTTTATCTTAACATTTTTTTCATTCTTTTGAAAATTTTTTATTTCATTTTTCATTAACATTTGGCGATGAATTTTTGGACGGAAAAGCCTTATCTTTCCAATTAATAATCTTTTCAGTAATCTTTTTTGATAAGTCATAGAGTAATTTTTTTCATTCTTAAAAAATTTTCACTTTTGCAATTTTTATATATTTTTTTAAAAAGGGGCACTCACCATTATTGGCTCCTCTGATTTGTCGTACTAAACAAGTGTAGCGATAATAGTACAGATGTAAGTCGCCAGCATCATCTGGTTTTTTGGAAGTTTTTCCTGCCCAAAGTAGAATCTCATAGGCATTTGTGCTCCGAAATGAGCAACAGCTAACTGAGTCATTCTCCTTTATTTTTTTCTGTGATGAGGACTGGTGGATTCATATTCGAACTTTAACCTCTATTCTGGATGGCAGTTGTCTTTCCACTGAGCCACCAAAGCTTCATTTTTCACATATAACTGAATCAAAATCGAATTGATGTTTAAAAAAATTTAATGAAAAATAAAAATAAAATTTTAAAGTATGGTTTTTTGCTAGGTATATGATAAATTTGGCTTGGATGAGAATACTGCAGATTTCACTGGCCATGCTTTGGCTCTCTATCGGGATGACAAGTATGGTTTATATTCTAAAAAATTTGAAGTTTTTAATTAAGCACATACATTGGTCTTATTCATTCTATTTAGCTATAAGTCTCAAGTATTTGGCCCAACTGTTGAAAAGATCCGACTTTATTCTGATTCGCTTGCTCGCTATGGCAAGTCTCCATATTTGTATCCTCTTTATGGCTTGGGGGAGTTGCCGCAAGGATTTGCTCGGTCAGTGCAATTTAATTTTCACTTTTTATTTGGTCATAACTTAATAACTATTTTCTTTTTAAGACATGTTTATCTTTTTCTGCTGTATATTGTTTATCTAGATTAATCTACGTAAATCTAAATTAGATTATCTAAATTAGATTTTAGTAAATTAGGTTTTTATTTACTCAATTAATTGTCAGAAAAAAATTATCTTTATTTTATTTTTAGCCTAAGTGCTATTTATGGTGGCACATATATGCTCGATAAACCAGTTGATAGTATTGTTTTTGAAAACGGAAAAGTCGTAGGTGTAAAAAGTGGCAATGATATAGCCAAATGTAAACAGGTATGTTTGCTTATTATATATATAGTTCCAGTATAACTAGTGTTCCAGTTTAATATAATTCCAAGAAAAACTCCAAAGTTTCCTTAGACTGTGGTTGAAATTTTCAAAAAATATCTTCTCAATTTGATTCTAAAAAACTTTTAAATGTTTAAAGTTTTTTAGATTTAAATTTTTAGATTTCATTGATGCTTTATTAATGTCAAAATTCGAAGAATCTTATAGGTTTATTGTGATCCTTCATATGTTCCTGATAAGGTCAGAAAAGTTGGTCAGGTTATCCGCGCAATTTGTTTGCTAGATCATCCAATACCAAATACAAATGATGCCCAAAGTTGTCAAATTATTATTCCTCAAAAGCAAGTCGGGCGTCATTATGGTTGTTTTTCGGCTATTTTGAACTAAATAGTGATAGACCATTGTTTGATGAAATGGTTCGATATTTTTTAGATATTTATATCTCGCTGGTTTCAAATGTTAACATGGTGGCTCCTAAAGGTTGGTATATTGCAATGGTTTCTACTACAGTTGAAACTGGAAATCCAGAAGCAGAAATAATGCCCGGATTGCAGCTGCTTGGATCAGTAACGGAAAAGTATCAATTTCAAGATATTTACCATCATCAACTGGTGACTGTGGTGGTTTTGTTATAAATAAATAGTTCATTTTTTGTATATAGAGTGTACAGCCGATGTTTGTAAAATTGGTTAATTAACCTGAAAGAACGGTTGACTAAGTAATTTTAATACATATTCATTTAATACATATTCATTAATTTTAATTTTAATACATATTCATAGTTCTGGAAAAGTTGTGGATTTGAGATTTGTCTTTTTATCTGGATTATATTCTAATTCCTACTTCGGCTATTATTGGCTTCACCAGTTTTCAACCACTAGTTTTCAACCAGTTTTTTTTTAAAGGTTCGTTCGCATTTCGGACGTCTACGAACCTACTGACCTCGGCTTAGATTCGCAAATATTTATTTCACGTTCTTACGATCCGACAACTCACTTCGAAACAACATGCAAGGATGTTCTTGACATATTTGAGCGTGGCACTACCACAGAATTCGACTTTACTAAAATAACTCATCTATCGCTTGAAGATCAAGAATAATTCACAATTAATTTTTTGAATTGTATTTTTTTGAATGGAACTTCGAAAAGATATTTACTAGTACCTTAGATCTTTTATCAAATTTGACCTGAAAATTTTTCAGTGATTTATAGGTCCGTAAGGTTTGCTTTTTCCTTTGCCTAAATTATCCATGTACTGTTATATTTCAATTATCATTTAATTGCTAATTATTTATTATTTATTCGCGATCACTTTTGATTAAACGCTGTTTGCTTAATTATTCAACTATTTCTGATTCATTCCCTTAATTGTTTATTTCCGAAATCTTTATTTATTGTCGCAAGGCTTTTCGAATAAAAAATATTCCTCAATTGTGTTCATGAAAAACGAGGATACGAGGACACTTTTTAAGTCAGATTTATTATAAAGAAAATTGCACCTTAGCGGGATTGACGTTTCATTAAGTGTGGTATAAATTCATGTAGTCCATTGGGAGTTAGACGGAGCTAAGGTGCGAAATGCTATGAGGAGTGGTTTTAATTTTAAAAATTTCTTAATTTTTTAATTTGGAAACAAAAGTTTTTTACGTTGTACCATATTGAATATAGTGAAATTAATTGTTCACCATTTCAGTGTTCTCTTATTGTAGTGACAAAGTGCCACATAAATAAGCAGTATTAAAATAATGCATTGTTTATCAAGCAGTGGTGCTTATCTGAAAAGGTCCAAAAGTATATGTAAGGTTTATAACTGGTGATTTTTAATCGAGAGGATCGGAAATGGCTGCACGGATCTCTGTTCCTGGTCCATTTTAGGAGCCTCCATTACATGGTAAAGTCAGCAGAGTTATTTAAGATATCACGAATATTTGTTTAGATTTGCTTACGTTAATTGGCTTCCAGGTTATGCATTTAAAAAAAATTTACTGAATCCTGCGCATCACCGAACTGCAAAATAGAAAGATATAGAAAGATCAATTTTGAAATCGGCCTGACTCCAAACTTATTTGGTTTTGCTGGCGAGACTATTTATTTCCATTTTTGAGATATTATTCTGGTGAGAGCTATTAGAAAAATTGGTTAGGCTAGCTTCGCTGGCTATAGAATTAAGACGTTTCTAAGGTGTTCTATCTGATGCCATCTCTGATAGCAATAAGCTCTTTCCATCATTTAAACCCATATAGATCCAATGGCATGTTCAAAATCTTTTCTGGCTCTGTCATTCCAAGTTTTGATTGGTCCTCTTCGTTTTTGATATCATAAGATTTAGGCAGTAACGAAATATGCGTCAACTTTTGCGATGGACGACGAAGAACGAGCCTAACCAGCGGAGCTTTGTGATGACATTTTCAATGCAGAAGGTAAAGAGCTAAGATTTAACGTTTGTCGGATAGCGTTTGTTGAATATATCTTGGTAGTAAGATCATGTATACTGAATTGCAGCTACTATATAAACTTTCCTTTTTTCGCTATCTTTCATTTTGATGATGATTTTGCGATTGCATAAATGTTTCGTACCGATAGAATATATTTCTAACTACCATTATCCTTCTCTCGCTTGGCCATTGGCGATTAAAATGGACCCAATAGATTCAAGATATTTAAAGTCTGGTACCTTTTTCAACCTGCAGTGAATTACTAAAAATAGTATCAGCTTTATCAGCTTCTGCAAATAAGACGAAGTTTTTATTTTATTTTACTGATGAGTCCGACCTTCGCTGCAGTCGTCGATACATTATTTTTGGCATTATTCGCATTTCATCATAACCATTATAATTGTCAGTAAAAAGGACTACATTTTCAGCGTATTCAAGATTTATGTTTCTATGCTCTGGACTGATTTTTATATCTCTTGAGTACCGAGAAGCGATGTCCATTATCCAGTCTATCACATAATTGAATAGTTGTGGAAGAAATAATGCAGTATTGACAGACATCAGTTCTTATTTGGAAAGACTGTTAGTTCCCCACCTGGATCCGATATACACTGATAAAATGCCTTTATGAGTCGAAAATAGCTGCAATAGCTGAAAATAGCAAAGTCGATGACACGTGTAACGATGGATTGCCGATATTTGAAGCGATGTCTCCTTAATGTATCTGGTCATCTGGTCTGCACAAGTGTGTCCCGATCTGAAACCAACTTAGTTTAGGCATATCTACTAAAGGCTACTCAGTAAAAGAGCAATGGAAAATTTCCCGAAGATGTCTAGTAGGATTCCTCGATAATTATCGCAGTTTTTATTGTACATTTTATTTTATCACCTTTCTTAGGAACTGGGAATGGAATTAGTGCAGTCATTTATTATTAATTCTTTCTTCCATACCAAAGAGTACATTTGAAAAGAGCAAGAGTGAAAATCGCTAAAAGGCGATGGAAAATATTTGAAGATTTCAACCCGAAGATCCTCTTCTTCAGGAATTTTATTGGCTTTAAATTTCTGGAGGATAGAGATTATTCTGCTATTTTCCTATTCTGCTGGCATTTCGCAGTAGCAAATATATGGCTCGACGATCAAATTAGCTATATCCACGACAACAGATGGCGTGGTTAAGTTTGGTCTCTCTTCCTCTCCATGTTATGAGGCAAACCTTAATAGTCTTAACCGGCAAATCATTGTCATACCATTTCATGGACCGTTCCTCTAGCCATAGTGCTTTATGAAGAAGGAATAGTTTCCTATTATCGACTGAATGAACAATTGTCTCCATTCGCAAGTCCATATCGTTCCAATAACGATTTTTATCCCGTTCATCAATGAGTTTCTTCAAAGCTCCGATAGTCAGAATCTCCTGACGGTTGCTTCGACGATTGTATAGTTGCTCATCTCACACGCAACCAGCGCATTTCGCACCAGCATATCCTAGCGTGAAGAGGTTAAATTGCCTTTAGTTGCTATTCATTTGAAGGGAGTAGAATGGCTCAGTAGGTTGTTGCTCAATTCAGAATGCCGATGGTTCTACTCCCTAGGAATAATCCTGCCTAAAAAACCCCGCATGCTGTTGACTTATCTGTATTTCTGTTGCCAAGTGAAATGGCATATTTATCTAGTGCAAAAAGCCTGAGGAGCGAGTCTAACCAGTAATGGAGTTCTTTAAAAAAAGTATTCATTTATAGCTCCATAGATGTTGCTGTTATCTGTATTATTGAGGCTTCAATAATTCTGTTAAAATACCCTTAGTGTCCTGGAATTTTTTGGTTTGGGATAGTTGAAAGTTGGAAGTTTCTTGCGAGTTGTCAATTTTGAATCTTCACTTGAACCATAACAATGTCTAATCCACGATGATTGCCAGTGCCACGCTAAGAACTTTTAAGTATGTAACTCTCCCAATGACTCCATTTGGCGCACCTCAATTTCATATGTGCCAATCACCGAATTCACCACAGCGGCATCGTAGCCTACACATGCATTCCAGTCTCTCTCGATTATGACCATGTCATTTTTCGGTAAAGATGTTGATAGCAACTGAAGCAAGAAATTTTTTCTTGTCATTGTCATCTGTACACAAAGTTGATGACCGAAATATTGTTTTCTTTGAAGCGAGCATAGGCCATACAGACGTGCTTTTATTCAATAAGAGCAGATCGAGCTTTTTCAGCGCTACAATATTTCGCCTCGACTTATCCGAAATAACACATAGCCAGTATTTCTGCTCGGAACCAGGTTTTATAATTGTTCGAGAATCGAAGTGAGGAAGATAGACTCCGACAGGCAAACGACATTCACACGATATTTAGAAAGAGCATGGACAGTGATAGTTTTTCTTGCAACGTCCATAAGCCTTCTGTCGTTCCACGCTGCTACGGCCAACAAACACCTCAGTGCTATACATGGAGCCGTTTCGCCCAAGAGACTTCGAGGTTACTCTGGCTGAAGAGCACATCTTATTCCGAAGCGTTGGAACCATTTAATCTCTCTCATATTGTCTTGTGAATCCCATTCTCCATTAAGCCACTAATACACCTTGTATAAATGGTAATTAATGTCTAGACGCGTTCACCATTCGGCAATATTATCCATGTGACTTGCCGCACAATGCATTGAAAACTGACCGAAAACTGAAAGTTTTTTTTGAAGCAGATATGCCGTGCAATGAAAAATTTACTATCTATAGCATATGACGAAAGATGTCCTGAGACAAACAAAATAAATCCGACTAAAAAAATGAACAGTGAACTGGTCCGAACTAAGAATGGAAATCTCGTTAAGACAAAGGATCACCGATGGAGGAATTTCTTTGAATCTAAATTCATTTAAGATGGGCTCTCAAGCATCCCGGGCATACTGCAACTCATTTATAGCCGTACGATTCGAACTGTGAACCACCAATGGAATATGGCATAGTTTTCTTAATCCACAAGTTCAAAGCTAATGAAATTCCCAGAGATGGTGTGTAAAATGAAGCTTAAAGTGCTGCCTAGCACCCTTCTGAACATCTGCGCAGATTATATTCAATGGTGTTGGAGAAGACAAATGCCATGTGACTGGAGGAGGGCAAATCTGCTTACTCCGATAATTATCTAAGAATCAGCTTGCTAGATGGGGAGATTTTTGTTTCTCTTTTGCTGAATAGAGTAATTGCAGAACGCGTCCGAAGTTTTCATGCTGAGAAAAATATTGGAACATCGTTTCAAGTACGAACAATCTTCTGTAATATATTTCATCAACATCGCTTCTACCTTTGATTCAGTCAATAAGGCGGTGCTCTGGTCATATAAGACGATGTGTTCAAAAAAAATCAGAGTTCAAAGCGTTTTATCAACGTACCTTAGTGCTGATGTATATACGTGGAACTGACAATTTTTTGAAGTATGAAAGAAAAAAATTTGAAATATCTGTATTTTCTCTCTTACATTTTCAAGTTTACGATAGACTCAATAATAGACAACGGCCCTCAGTCCAGAACATGACATCATGGACCTTGAATACGCTGGTGTCTTTTGGTTCTGTGGTCCTTTTCGCTTCAGCTAGGTGCATCTGCAACAAACACTAAATCCAGCAGCAGCTGTGAAGCGAAAGCCTAAACACAAGACTAAGGGCAAGTCCAAGCTCTTGCCAAGGCCTAAAATTTTAAAATTTTATATGAAAACAATTAAAAAACAAATTAGCAAGCTTCGTGGATTTCTTTAGATAGTTTCTCTTCAAATCAGTGTAAATAAGATGATTCTTTTTATATATACCGGGCTCTGATAAGACCAATCTTTTATATTAAATCCTTGCTCGGATAGTTGCAGCTAGAGGTGTCTTCTTTCATCTGGCATTCCTCTGGAATCTTCGATAAATCAGCTCAAAAGTACGAGAGTTCAAAAGTCTATCTGGCAGAAACACGCACTATCCTACTATGCGGTTGTACATGGAAACTTAGCCAATGAGAGTGGAAGATATTGGAAAGCTCTTCTGCCTTTCACCGTTCTCGCCTGAAATACATCCTTCTGACACGCCAAGGATCTCATGTGATTACTCGAATAGCATCTGCGTTAGGAATCTGCATTAATGTCACAAAGTGTTACCTGTGTTAGTTTGGCAGACATACTCTTTATTGTCCACTACAGGAATTATGTACATCTCTCAGTTTTCTAAATCTTGTGATGAACTGCATTAAAAGGACTAGCTAAATTCTGGAACTGACATGGTCAGAAGAAATTTCGAACGCATAGCTTAATGATATAAGGGAGTAAGGGAGTAGATTGTCGAAAAATAAGAAAAGAGGGAATTGCCGTTTTATTCACTTCAAGGAATCGGAAAGCTTGGGAATGTTCTATCCCAGTCGCAAGTAGAGGGAGCCAAACCGGTGTAAACTATTAGAAAAAAGAAGATACAAAATAAGAAGCTGGCATAAATAGTAATACATTTTCTCAGTCGATCATTCGCTTACATTTTCAAAAAAAAACTGCAACTGGAAAAGCAATTTATTTGGGAGTTGAGATTTGAATAGCGATAATTTAATCTGGAACGTAGATAGATGTACTGTATATTAAATCAGATATAAAGCTGTGTTTCCCTTGTAGTTTTGAAGATGTTTTTTAATGAAAGTCATTGAATGTCATTGAGAATCACCAAATCACAATCGTTTTGGCCTTTTATCTTCAAAATGGAAAATGGCAAATATCATTCGAGATTCAGCTTGCTTTCTTCCAAATCATAAATCCCAGCGTGAATTTAGCCGTCGAATCAATAACCATCGGGAACTCCGGAGATTATTAAAATCTTTTAGATGTGCCCGAATTTGAAATGGGCCAACTACCCGTGAGTTTTTTGAGATAGATTCTCTGAGAAGACATGCTTTATTTGACCAATTTTATTCAGATTTTGAAATCATGAAATGGTCTAACTCGTGGAGAATGCCATTTTCGACTCGGTGAATACAGAACTCTTCCATGATTGACTAGAAAATGATTAATCTGATTGGCATTTATTTACTCAACCAAGCGCCATATGCTTATATTAATAACAGACAAGACAACAATAATAAAAATAATGATAAAGAAAAAAAATATAAAATATAACAGAAACTAATAAAGTAAATAAGACATAAAGAGCAGTTACATAATGGTAATGTTCGAAGTGAATACATTACTTATACAAAATCGAGTGGTGAAAATCAAGGTTTCAAACTTTCTGCATTATGTGAAATTTTTAAGCAATATCATAAATGATATTATCTAATCGTTTTTTAAAAATAGCTAAGGATGACGCACAAACTACATCGTTCGGTAATTTAGTCCAGCAATTAATAGTGCGAATAAAGAAACCATGAAGTCCTTAGTTTAGTTTTGCATAAAGGTTTCAGTAATTTTAGCCTATTACTTTTTACTGGATTCAAATTTAGCCTGAAATTATAATATTTTGACTATAATCTAGTTTAACATGACATCATACAGAATCTTATAAGTATAAATCAAATCTTGTTTAATTCAACGAAATGAGAGGAAATCCAGGGAATTGTATTGTTGAAGTTGTATTTTATAATTAAAATTGCTATTAGAAGAGAGGCGTCGTAAAAAATATTTTTGGAGTCGTTCAATTATTTTACTTGATTTGCGATATCTCGGGGAGTGACATATATTATGCCCTACTAGGCCTATAGCAGGAATTAACATATCTCATTGAATTCCCAACCTTATAATAAATGACCAAGAATCTCCTACCAAGAAGCCTAATCAATTACGGTTCAATCTTAAAAAATAAATAATATGAGAAAAGCATAAAAATTAATGAAGGCTGAAACAACTCTTTCAAGGTACAAACAACTCTTTCGAGGTACCAATTAATTATTATTAATTATTTATAATTGTTATAATACTTTGCAAATTAAAATCAAATCATGAAAATAAATCATGAATTAAAACTGGGTATAATGATAGAAATTAAATCTAAATAAGATTTTGACGAAATAAAAACCAATCAGAAAAACAAAATTCAAATTATGGAAAAAACATCTATCGCATTATTAATACTTTACTTTTTTATACTATACTTTTTCCAAAGATCTGTTTAAAAGAAATTTATAAACTTAAATGATTAAATTATATGAAGAACAGTATGGCCAGCTAAGGTCAAGCACCATTAGTTCCGTTGAAGTTCCTAGGAGAGAAAGAACTCTATTATAAGTAAAATCAGGATGAGGACCTACATTCCCAAGCAACTTTCCGGTGTAGATCTCATCAAAGATCAAAAGCAAAGCTTATATAAAAAAGAAAACATAAGAAAATCATTAGATGGACGATGAAAGAAAGACCGTGTTTATTTGCTAGCACATACTATTGAATTTATTTTGCATTAGTACGCATTGAGATAACGGTTCAAAATAAAGGAAAGATAAATGAAACATAGCAGAAAAGATAACCCTCAATAGAAAATCGAAATAAAATCTAACAATAAATAATACTTTATGCTGGCATACGTAATGCACCATCTAATCGAATGACTTCACCATTTAAATAGCGATTTTCTATAATATGATGAACAAGAGCACCAAATTCTACAGGATTCCCAAATCGTTTTGGATTAGGCACAAGATTGTTGAGAAAGTTTATTGCCTGAAAAAAATACTGCCGTAACCAACCAAACCAATTTTCATCTATAAAAAGAAATACAAGTTTTAGTTATGCTTATCTGTAAGACATAAAAATTTAACTTTTAACGACTAATAAAAATTTTCCATAAATCAGATTTTTTTTGAAAACCTCACAACTTATTTCATTTTGGCGATATTTCTTGGTAGCTTTTCTTATGGAATATTAAAATGAAATGAAAAGTAAAATGAAAAATTACCTTTGGCGGTAGACAATTAACTAAGGGAGTATCAAAAATACCAGGGGCAACAGCCACGAATCGTATTCCATCTTCAGCGAAATCACGGGCTAAAGGTAGTGTTATACTGGCAATTGCTCCCTTTGATGCAGAATATGCAGACTGTAATAAGACTACAGATAACAATCAATGAATTATGTTTCAAAGAGTAAAAAGTTGAAAAATAAAGGAAAAAATTTAAAAAATGAAATTCAAAAAAATTAAGTCTCATAAAAAATAGAATTCTAGCTAATTATAATAGCATATGGCTTACCTGACCAATTTGACCATCAAATGCAGCAATTGACGAAGTGTTTATAATGACACCTCGCTGCCCAGCTTCATCTTTTTCATTCTCAGCCATCAACTGACATGCGAAGCGGATAACATTCAAAGTTCCAATTACATTTACCTTAAACAAACCAAATTTACCTTCTTGATTTCGTATAATTATAAATCATAGAATTACAAGAATTAAACTATATAAATAAAGCATTCTCCATTTTGAAAATAAACAAAATGTTCAATAAGTTTTATTCAAGAAAATATCGGAATTTTATAAGGAAAGAATTTCTGGAGAATTTTAATCGAAATAATAGAAAACTGAATATGCCGTTTTAAAAAATTAGGAACAAATTTTACAAGAGGAAGAACGATAATTTTAGTTGCTTACTTTTAAGGTTCGTTCAATTTCATCTAAACTCTGCATCTGCTTCTTCATTACGCTATACAATTTTCTAGCATAGGCAATACCAGCACAATTAACATTTACATCCAGTCGGCCAAATTTTTTATGTAGAACCTCGACCGCAGCTCCAACTTCATTTTCGGATGTGACCTGAAGTTGAAAGAAATTTAATTAGAATTGCACTAGAATTTGCGAAAATCAACAAATTAACTTATGTTTGCGGAGACATTCTGAAAAAAAAATTTTTTCTCTTGTAAAAGCTATTACTGGTAAAAAAAAAAATCCCCTAATAATTGCTTTAAAAACTTGGCAAATAAAATGGATTTTATCAAGTTCAAATAAAATAAATATTAATAAAATATATATATATATATATATAATTAGCAGCATCGTTGAAAGCGGCCAAAAAAACAAAAGAATTTAAATTTTTTAAAAAAATTAGAACAAAAAATTCCAGAGATAGGAAAAATGAAGCTATTTATTAAGATTAAAAAATGAAACATAAACATACATTAGCTGGAGTGAAGAGACAGTTTTCACCATAAACTTTGGCAACTTCCGCACCAGCTGACGATGGCAAATCAATGATTGCAACTTTTAATCCATGATTTATTAAAGTCTCAACAGTACCTTTTCCAAGACCAGATGCTCCACCAGTAATTAAAGCAACCAAACCCTGCAAATTTTTTTTCTTATTCATCTCCTAACCCTGCACTTTTTATCTCTATTGATCTTTTGTATACTTTATAAAGTACATAAATTTTATTTCATTCATTAAATTTATAAAAGTGACGAGCTTATCCAGGTTCGCAGGCCATTAGCACGGCAAGGGAGAGATGGGCAGATGGGTCGCTACCACCACTCGGACCTGTTTACTTTTGCGAGTAACAAAGAATAAAAACTCTGACCAACGGACGAGCTCTGAAGCACTCGATTATCCCTCTTCCTTCTTTTTCTAATAATAACTCAATTAGTAAATAAAAATTATAGTTTATTTTTAAATTTAAATGAATTTAAATAAATTTAAATTTAAAATATTGAAATTTAAACTATAAAGAATTACATTCGCCGATGAATTGTTAAGAACAGTTACTTTTTTATACTATTAATTAAGCGATTTGTGAAATTTTTGGTTAAGAAAAATATCCATTTGTACCTTTGTGGGTGATAAAACTGAAGACACGTTGGCAGTCATATTTCCTTCTCTCTTTCCGTTCCCCTTAAAATTAAATTTTGAAACGAATTTATCCTTCGCTTTTTGATTAATTTCGTTCGCTTTTTCAAAGGTATAAACGGTTTCATTGTCTTTAAATGAGCCAAATATTCGTTAAATCAAATAAACATCTTAAACTCCTTCCTCGTACCCTATCGATTAATACAGTAAACATCACAGATTTCGCCTTCAAACAAAACAAGCTATAGAAGCCGAACTGTAATTTAATGTTGCTATCAGTCGGCTCGAAATGATAACTATATCACCAACCACGTAAAAAACGAATTTCCATAAAAGCGGTAGGGTATTAATGCTAGAAGCGATCATTCATTTTACTACTAGCAAACACATTTTAAAATGAATCCATACGACCAGCAAAAATAATATAAAAACCATTAATTTTCTCCGATCTCTCCCCTCTTTAAATAGAGAGTGACGCAATTATGGAGGTAGAAAGCCAAATGGAGTTCGGCGCTGGGAGACGTGCGGTTTGGCTGACTTCAAATTAGACGCCGAAGCGCTGCCAGAAAAGGCGGCGCGTAACGACGTTAAAACAATTTTGCTTTCCTTTTCATCGATTTCAAATTTGAAATTTCCCATATTTTATGGTGGGTTGAAGAAAAGTATAATAAGTACAGTAAATGAAACAAAAAACATTCGAACATTGTGATTATAAATTTGGCATCTGACAATTACCCATCCGACTTTTGCGCACGACCCGCATGTTAAAGCTTATTACAGTAAATCTGGATTTCGCAGTGAGAAATATATCCATTAATCAAACGCGACTGTACTATAGTGTGTTAAAATTATTTAATTTTGTGCTGTTATTAATGAAATTGACATATTTCTAAAATTTGGTTGTCATAGAAACGGACATGTGATTTTTTTTTCAATGTAGTCACGTGAGAGGCACGTGGCTTATGTTTATTTACTATAAATTAGTATGGCTGATTTTTTGGATGGAAATTCGGTCGGTAATAGGCGAACATTCTTTAATTTAGAGGTTAATTAATTGTTTTGTCGTTCCTTTTTTGTATTTTTTGTTATCGGCGATGTATTGAATGATTGTGCCAAGGGATTGTCCATTGCACTTCTATTTTTTAAGAACACTTACCAGCTGGTTGGAGTCGCTGCACTGGCTTATCGCACTTGACAAATATGCCAGGGAGGGAGTCGCTTGGCGACGAAAGTGCACGCGAGTCGCCAGCGCCATCCGGACTTTTGAAGGACAGGCTTATTCCTGCTTCCCGGGAGTGGAACTTCGGCATTGAGCGATAACCCATTGAGCCATTCTACTCTCACCTACTTTCTTCGCCGGCTTCGAAGCCAGGCCTCGATTCTCAATGGCACTTGCCTTGCCATTGAGCCACACCACTTAGGTAGAATCGGGATACACTAGCATATATCACCATCCTTCACTTTATCAGTTGTATCGAAGAAATATCAAAGTAAAGGTAACCCATATTTCTTGCCCGAAGAGATACTGCAGGACTTTCCTTGCGTGATCAGCACAACCTGCCGTCTGAATCCAACTTGTTTAGATGCATCTTGTTACTTGGAGATTTGGTGTAGGATTACTTTGCTCTCTTATTTTATATTCTTTTTTCCATACCAGTGAATGATCAATTTTTAATTTTTAATTTTAATTGTGATGACAACAATAATTATGAATTGGAAAGGAGCATCGGAAAATCCGGCCTATACTTTTCTATTTTTTTGTTGGCCTTAAGCTTCTGTTGTTTTTAAATTTTTAAATTAATAGCAACAGTCTTTTTTTTTAAAGAATCCTCACCATTACCGATTAAATTCGCTGCACTGGCTTGTCGCATTGGACAAATATGCCATGGAGTCCCTTGGCGATAGAAACACAGGTTAGTCGCCAGTATCACCCAGATTTTTGGACAGGTTTACTCCTGCGGGGAATCTCAGCATCGCCGCTCTGAATTTAGAAACAGCCCACTGAGCCATTCTATCCCCTAATAACTACAGTAACGGAGAATAATTAAATTATTATTAATTTGTTAATTAAATTGTTGCTAACATTTTTATTCTTGGTCACAAACATTATTATTACTGTGGTTGTTATTCTTATTACTATCATAATCAATTTTTAATTTTTAATTTTAATTGTGATGACAACAATAATTATATATAAGCATGATTAATTTATTAGGATAATGATGATACTGGTTCGAATATTGTCGATGAAACGGAAAAAAAGTACTTTTGTGATGATGATGTTGATTCGGATATTCTGCTCAGTTCGTTGGTATATTTTTTTAACTTGTTTTATTAAATGTTGAAAGGTGATGAAAATTCTGTTTGCTGTGATTAAATGAATTTAACAGTAACAGCAAAAAATGTGTGTATTGAAGTCGATTTTAAAGATACTTTGATAACAAAAATTGTTTTCTTATTTAATATATTTTTTATGCAAAGTAAATGATTTGAGACCGGTACATCTCCTTGTAAATTGGCATATGAACGTGGATTAGAAATTGTCGTTCTTAACCACAGATTCATTGATGAAGTTGGTGATTACATTCGATTTATGTCGTTGTGTAAGCAATTAAAAGAAGTCAGTTCTGCTTTTTTTGCTTTGCTTCCACTTGGAATTTTTTCCATAAAAAATTTCTTAATTTTTTATAATCTGTACTTTTTTCAAAGATATATCTAATCTTTTTTGCCACTTTTTCATTTAAATTCAATAGTTTTAGCGAAACTATCTTTTTCATTTAAATTCAATAGTTTTAGCGTAATTCTAGCCAGGAGTACGCTTTTATTTCAAATTCTTTTAACTTTATTTTTCTTTTAAGCAGATTTTTCTAAGCTTTTTCTAGCTGTTCGATTAATTTAGATTGATTTGGCTTGGAATCGGCTTACATCATGGGCAGAAATTGCCGTTTTGATGGAAATCCCGAATTTGCAGGTGGTAAATCTCAGCCATAATCCTTTGAAAAATTCAATCGATGCTGAATTACCTTATGCAAATCATTTGAAAACGCTTATTATTAATGGTATAAATCTTCCATTCACAACTATTGGGCATTTCGTGTCAAAAATGCCATCTCTTTATGAATTACATATTTCTGATAATAGGTGTGTTTATATGTATTTTTTTGCTATTGAAATGTGTCTATTTATGAAGAAAAATGCTTATGTACCGAATACCGAATTTTTTGAGTACTTTTGTCGATCTTTATTAAATACTATCTTTTATTTTAACCTGGTATTTTCTTTTGCCTTAAGCATTATCGCGATTCTCCATATAACCTGCAGATCCTACCAGGGTTCCTTAAAATATCACCCCTCTAAAAATGGTTTATATTGTTGCATCAAACTCCCCTTATTATTTTGCCATACCTAGTTGATAACCATAGATTCATAGATTTATAGATTCAGACTTATTATATAATCCCATCAATGTATCATGAAAATTCCTTTGTAACTTGTTATAATCATCCACATTCCCAGTATCCTCTCAGCCGTCTTTAATACCATATCAGAGCGCACCTTATTATTTTATTAAGGCCAAGTACTGTCTGAACTCTCGTAAATTATTAGCCTTAACGTTGCAAATCCAGTTTTACTCTTCCTACAATCAGCTAATGCTCTAGCCGTTTGAATACCTTTTGCGAAATTTCGGTTCATTGTGTTAAAATCTGTTGATATCGCCCAGAATCCGGTTTTGGTGAAAAATGTTCACAAACACCTTTAATTATCATTTTAAACTAATAACATAAATTTTCAGTTTTGCCATATGTGGCTTCTACCCACACCCATTTTATTTCCTTTACGCTTTATAGTAAAAATTGCAATTTATAAAACTGCGAAAGACAGCATAATGATAATTGCCGAATAATTACTGCAGAGTGTGAAAAATAGGGAAAAACGAGGGGAAATCAAGAAAATTTGGTGGATATAGCAGCAGAGTTGGAAAAGTTGTTACAGGAATATAAAGGTGTTTTTTCATATTTAACAAGCTAAATAGAATGGAACGTTTTTTCAGCCTTCTGGGCAATCTTTTGGATATTCCAGATGGTGATGTGATATCTGAGACTGTTCAAATTGTGTATTTTAACCGGTGTAATATCACTATCTGGAACAGCGTTGTATTAATCAAACAGTTGTTTCCACAAAGCCATTCGTTCTTCTTATGCGAAAATCCAATAACATCTGTTACCTTCATTCCAGAAGTATTTGTTTATCTATTTTTATTCTCTGATTTCATAGGTTTTTTCTTTTTTTGATACCTAATATTTTCTTTGGTAATATTTATTTTATATTTTAGTTTAAACAATTGGATATTTTCAATGGTATTTCATTTCTGAATATGAATAAATGTCTTATTGATAATTGGGCTTCCATAGAAAGTTTATCAGAAGTATCATCTTTACGAGATCTTCGCTTGCAACATATTCCTTTACTGAATAATTATTCAAGTAACGAAAGGAATCATCTTATAATTGGTCGTATGCCATTATTGGAGACGCTAAATGGTTCAAAAATAACTGTGAAGGAGCGAGAAGAGTCAGAACGTTTCTTTTTGAGGTACCATTTTTTATAAATAAAATCCCAATATCTTCGCTTGTTTTATTATTTTTTATAGGATACCATTCCATTTGAAAGATATTTTTTAAGTGTTAATGAGTGGTTTTTATGAGGTTTCGATTGTAAAATAACTGATAACTGGTTAACTGATTTCAATTATTAATGTTAATAAGTCAATTATAAATCAATTATTAACTGATTTCAATTATTAATGTTTAAAAAGTTTGATTTTCTTCCTTTAAATTTTTTAGATATTATGATAATTACGAGATAAAACCGATCGTTTATGGCGCTTTACTTGCTCGTCATGGCCATATCGAACAACTGTGTAAAGTGGATCTCACTCCCAAAATGCACGCTTATGTTGTTGTGATTTGTGAAGAAAATGGGTGACTTTTATTTTTTATGTCTTTTGCAGTAATGATTTAAACGGTTTTATTTATGACGATTTTATTTTACAATTCATTCTTTTATAGGTAATTCATTTTTTGATTGAAAAATTCTTTCAGGTATAGTTATATCTGAATTTTTAGGTACACGGGTAATGTAAAAGTGCGGCTCTCTCATTCGGTATCTTGCCTGATGCGAATGCTAGAGAAATTAACGAACATACATCATGCTCGCATGCGAATTTTTTACTTAAGTGGCAAAAATCCATTTGCTGAAGAACTTCGCTTTCCGAACCAGAAGCTTCTTTCACTCCGCGTTGAAGATGGTGATAAATTTAGTGTGCAGGTAAAATGGTTTTGTAAAATGTGAATTGTAAAACGAGATGGTGATAATTTTTTGATGATACAGTATATAAAAAGAATTTATTAGATCAGATTTGGTCTATTCCGAAATTGATTTGATTTGATCATTATCTTATTTCAGTCGAAAATCGTCTTAAATCGTCGGAAGAGAAATACAAAAAATGATAAGTGGAATCAAGACAAACCAAAAGAAAACACATCTTTGAAAGTTTAATTAAATAAAGTTAAATATAGATCGACTAATACTATTTTATCGCGCGAAATGTCTCCGCATCCCGCAGTCGGTGATTATAAAAATTTGTCTGGAGTGAATATTGGGAAGTGGCTTATTAATTTTTTTACTTTTATATAAATGTATATATATAAGGTTGTCCAGAAAGTTCCTACTGATTTCAAAATTCATTACACGAGTAAATCTTTATCTTTATGTTATCTAAGCCAGCCTTCACCATTTGTGTTTATGTTTGAACCACTGATTAGTGCGACGAAAAATTTTTCGTCGAGGAGTCATATGAGGATTTTGGGATATAGGTGGATCATCATCATCATCATCACCTATTGTTCTTAATGGAAGATTTATTTTGTCGAGGTGGTCGGTAAAACATCCCGCTTCAATTATATATGCTCCATTTTTTCGTCTAAGGCCCCATCTTTCCTAAATTTCTCAGGTTTTTTTGCAAAAAATAGCTAAAGGTGGAAAATCTTTTGAGGCCATTCAGAAGATTAAAATTTTTGCTAGTAAATGTTCAATGCCGAAGATATCATAGCAAAATTCCAATAATTTTTTTCAAGCGATCAAAGAAATGTGAAGCGTTGTTTTAAAAAATGTGCGCCATTCCTGTTAGCCAATTTTGGACATTTTCTTTGTATTGCTGCTTTCATTTTATCGGGTTGCTTTTGGTTGGAGCTCATAGAATTAGATTTTCTTCGAGTCAGATTTTCTGATGCAAATCATAACTTTTTTTTTTGAGCAGAAAGATAATGGTTAATAGTTCAATTTGCTTTTTTTTCGTAGGGCATTATTGTTTTTTCAATTTATTTTTATTTTTTCAATTTCCATCACCTATAGCTTCATAAGTACTTTGTTTCTAATTTTAATATCGCTTGGTTTACTCTTAAATGTCGGCTCCATTTGGTCAACGTGAAAGACAGAAAATCTGTGAGAACATTTTCGATCTTTCTGGTTAAAAGACGTTGTAAACCTTGAAGAACAATCACTTCAGTTAAAATAATCTTTACAAACAATCTTACTGTGGTAACGTAAAAAAATGCATATCATTTTTATCTATCTTCAAAACTGTATAAAATGATAAAGATTGACTCGAATTTAACAGTTTTTTGATTAAAAAAAAACTTAAGAAATCATCCATTGAATTAAATGCATTTTTTTCATTTCACATTTTTAAACTTGAAAATTAGAGATGACTTCCCGGCAACCTAGTTATATTTTGTATAATTTGATAGATGATTGGTGGATTGACTAGTTTTGTACTACTGATTTTCTATGACTTTATGTTGATTATAACATTTTTACTGGTTATTTTTGTGTGCGAATTAGTTCAGTAAGTAGGAAATATCTGTCTAGATAATAATGATTGATTTATATCGCAGTGAAAAGCAAACCTTTTATAGAATTATTTGTATGAATATTTTTCATCTTTTAATAATATTTGCAGTTTATTTTTAGTAACTTCCTGTGAGACAATTTAATTTTAGTTTCATGAAATATGCAATATGCATGAATATTTTAATTCTTATAAATTTAGTAAATAAATTTATAAAATTTGCAACGGCGCTAAAATCGAACGAATGAGCCTTACCGTGTCGAAAAGTAAGAGGATTAAGGGTTTTAGATTTTTTCAATCCAGTGGAAATGCAGAGTGTATCGTTTGTTCCTCTGTGCGATTTCTATCACGAAATTTCGGGTTGAAATATTTTATTTGTGGACAAAATTAATGAATTACACCAAAATGGAATAGAAAAAACTGAGGGGAATTGAATGTCGCGGGGAAAAAAAGTGGGCCGCAAATTTTCATTTTTCATTAGAAAATGGAAAATTGATGCCTTTATTGCTAATTAAATATTTCAAATACTACGAATGATGACATGAATTAGTAAAAAAGTTATATATTGTGGTCGGTATTGCCTTTGATTTGGACTCTGTTGATTTGTATGACTGGTTTTGATGCAGATTTTTGCAATTTAGCGATACGCAGCCCTCGTTTTTCTTTGTTTGTGGATCCATCGCCAATATTTGGTAAGGATGATGAAGAATTTGTTTCTCGAAGACCACTTCGATCTCTTTCCCAGGTTTGCTTCAGCTGACGATAGATAATTTTGCCGCTCGAACTTCGAGGAATTTCGTTAACAAAAAAAACACCCCCTCGAAGCTCCTTTATGTGGCCAATTTTACCTGAATCAAATTGAAGTTAGTTAGTTAGGTAACCGTCCAATTTATCTCACAGGGATTCCTAGATCTGGTAAGACTGCATCTGGTAAGACGATGGTGTTTCAGAGAAAATAATCAAACTATTTTACCAACGTTACGTCAGCACAGATATATGTGCGCATAGGGGAAATCTTTCAAAATGCGACCTGGTATGCATTAAGGTTTTATCCTACAATTTTCGTCGATATGTTCGATTATGGATGCTTTATGGATACACTTGCAGGCATTTAAGAGGTGCACAAATACATCCAAGCATAAGGAACCTTGAATAGGCTGATGTTTTTTTTTGTTAATAACTGGGATCTGCAACCGACCAGATGTCGATAACAACAGCAAAAATTTTCAATTAACGTAATTAAGATTTCTCTTTTCTCTTACATTTAACAGACTAGTAGACATTGATAAGGTCAATTTCTGTAAATCAGTAGTTAGAAATACTAGGCTTAAAATATCGTAGACCCACTTTCACATCTAATTTGTCAAACGAAAGGTAAAAGAAATCCCAATTCAGAGGGTGTGTTTTTCTCCATCTAACAAAACATTGCGAAATTAATTTAAAATGGGGTTCTCTCTGTCCGATTTGTAGAAACCAGATAATATATAATATATGTCTGTGAAATATTATCAGCGAGAGCGGAAGGTGTCAGGAAATAATCTATCTTTACATTCTTACTTATGATTTACTACATATTCGCTAAGCTGACAGAATTTCACATGAGCTATCTATTCTTTTCTTGAGTATCATCATCATTAATAATTATAAAGGCCATGTTCTTCGTCTCAGAACTCGATGCATACCTCGCTATTTGCCAAATTCTGCGATAAATGGTCTTAAAAGTGAGGATAACTCGGATACCCCAGATCCGGACTGGGATGGTCGGTGGAGATTTTGAATGCATAAGTGATGTTTCAGCAATTTTTTGGTATGAAAACGAGTGGCTTTGGCGTCGGATTGAGAAACTCGGAAATAAAAATAGTCACCCATGACTTAGTTAAACTGGCAATTGTGCGAGCTGTTATAAGAAGAATGTTTACCAAAAACGTGCTGTCGAACATCGGCAGGAGACAATTGAGAATATTTGGAAGTTTTTACTACAAAAGCAGCAGGTACTTCACCTAATAGAGCATCTTGTCGTCCAATAACTGCACAGTCTTCTATGCCTGGATGTGTAAGTAGAAACGTTTCGACTTGGCTAGGAGGTGTCTAAAAAATTTCTTATTTGGTATACTTAATAATAGTATAATGATAATAGGAAAAATAATAAATGACATAATAACAATAATAAAAGTGGTAATATATATATACATACTATTATAATACTGATTAGTTGTAACAACTATTAGCAAATATAGCTTCAGCTTCACCGTCATTCCGGAAACATTCAAAACGGTCTAGGTAATGTGTCTGAGCATAAAATACAGACTCCACTAGATTTTATACTTATAATTTTCATATTGGATTTCATCCTTTCATGTTGGATATTTGAACGATTCGTAGTGCTCACGATAGTGCTCATTTATTTTTATTGCGAATGGATTATTTTTCATCACAAAATTTGGCGAATATTGATAACTAAAGCGCCGCACCCTAATACAAAATTGTGAGAGATATTTCGTAAACTTTCGGTGACATCGGATGTGCCATCCTGTCCTCAGTTTCAGAAAATCTGGTTTAAAACTAAGACTGAAGCTAGAGATTAGGTCACTTAATAGTTTGAGATAATTTCAATCCACAATTTATTCGCTATTAAAATTTCATTTTTCCTTTTTCTTTTTGTTGCTTGGAGCTGGAAATAAGAAGCGGAATGAAGGAATTTGTAGTTCACAGATTAAAGGTAAGTTATGTGAGTTTCTTAGGCTTAAATAAATAAATAATGATGAGAACAAAAATTGATAAGTTACTTTTTAAATGATTTCTTAAAAGGAATCGGTTCTCATAAATTTGTTTTACCCATGAATTATATTAAAAAGTATACCAGTGTTCCTCGATATTTGATAAGATTTTTTATCTTTCCTATTATGTAGATATAACCATCACGATCATAAAATGCAAAGTCTCCTGTAATTTTCTCAATCTTTTATCATAAATTCTGAAAATTCTTTAAATCCTTTAATGAGAAAAAAGAAGTAAAATTTTATTTGCTTATTTATTAGCAATCAATTTTATTTTTCCAAATATTTTCTATAAATGAATTTCAAAATGTAATTCCAAAGTATTTCGCTTAATTAACTTTGACATTGTATGTTGTATTATATTTTAATTAATCATTTAACTAAAAAATTTGCCGATAAAAGAGCTTTGTTGGAAACCTGTGTTAAGATATCCATCTACGTCAGCTAACGAATTTGAAGCCTTACTGCTGCGATGCGATCGAATTTGTATTTGTGGGCCTATTACATACAATCGACCGGGTTGATGTGGCATGCACAATTCATTGGTTTCTATGTTAACAATCTCAAAAAAGAGTATATTGTACAATTGATTTGTTGATGCTGATTAACTCAGTGATAATTTATTATGAGCAATAGGAATTGATCGTCTTGTGCTGTTAAAATTAATTAATTAAATGGCAAACCTTGGCGACCATTCCTGGCAAAGGGACTCCAACACTTTTATAATTGTTATTACCGAATTTTGAAAAAGTGCAAAAGCCACTAGCCGTGGTTAAACCATAAACTAAAAATGTATTAATTTTTTGAATTAGGATATAAAAGCGAGTTAGCATTTCATCATTATTGATTATAACCTTGTATATTTGCGTGTTCTTGGATTATTATTGTATTATTAATGAAAAAAAGGAAAAAGAAACTTTGCCGAATATCTTCAATTTGCAGCTTATCTCTACACTGTGATAAAAGTTGTTCGTCAGTTGGTAAACCACTAATTGAAATACTTCGTAGCGAAGAAAAATTTTCAAGAGAAACTTGCGTGTTCTTGACAAGCATACTTATCGCTGAAGGTGGCACATGTGCAAAATTTATCTTAATTCACTGTTATCACTTATTTATCAAAAATCATTCTTATTGCATGAAATTATTATGAGAGCAAATATGAAATACATTAAATTTAGCTGCCGCATTAAAATTTAGAAATCTTTTATTTTTTCTCGGCATATTCATTAGGGACAAAATTATTAATTATTATTATACTTGACAGAAAATTTTTTTTCGCGACTTATTTATTATCAGAGTTGATAATGAAGAACGGATCGTATTATCATATAAATGGAGCGTTAATGCAAAAAACTTTTAGATAGATGAGTTTATGAATTGAAATTGGCATAAAAGTAAAATCTTACATCATCAAGAATTAAATTTTTTTATTATTTTACCAATGTACTATCTTTTGAATAAAATAGAAGAATATACTTTCAGCATACCTTTTGTTCTGCTAAAATTGATGCAAATGATTTTGGATTAAAATTTGGTAAGCAAACCAACGTTGCACCATTTGCTAAGGCATAATACGCAAGTATAGTTCCATTTATGTGGTGAATACAATGTCCTGAACATTCTCTATAATTCCTCTTATATCTTTAATTTTTATGACTCTATAATTATTATTATTGTTATTATTATTAGTTCCATGCCAACAAGTTCCGTTAAAAAGCAAAATCACGAAACCAAAATTGATGATTGCTACTAAAGTGCAGTGACATTCTAAAGATATATGGAATAATACTGCCGCGTCAGAGTCCTACTGAAATATTCAAGAATAACCGAGAAGAAATTTTTGGTTTTGCATTGGTGGGGAGAATACCGGACAGCTGAGTTGCTGTACATTAATAACAATGGACTGATGAGATATCTCAGTGGGTTTTGGAGGATCCGTGCTTCCTTCAGAAAAAAATATCATCATGCCAGTTTTGTTGTTTGTTTTTGCTGTGGTCGTAACATTTTGATCATTTGCAAATGATTCCTAAAATTTATTTTGGAATTTAGATCTGATATTTCTGATTTGCATACAATGAAATGTAATTATTTCGGGCTTGAATTCAGCAATGTTCTTTAATGTTTTTTGTCTTGCACTACATTTCTAGCTATAGAAATGAAACATAAATACGAAAAAGCCAAAAATTGCTTACAGTTTGAGGAATAGTGCTCGATTTTGGGGGAGATCGCAGTTGTCTGAAATATATAAATTTAATTGATTAGTGAGCTTAAAAAGCGAATTGATTACAAATATTAATTATATGCAAAGAATTACAAATTCATTTTACGGTTATAAATCGAATGAATAAGAGATTTATTTAATTTAAATTTTTTTTTATTAAGCTTGATTCTATGCAATTTATAATTTATAATTTATTATTATAAAACGAATAAACTGGAACCGATCTAGGATGGTCGATTTGGTTAATGCAAAATCGCAAAGCACATCAGCAATTACCTTGATTTCCTTTAAAAAGTAGATTTTAGTTAAATTGGTACAGATTTTAGTATTTTTTGTGCTCAGCTAAGTGAAAAAATTAAAATTTAGGCTTTTTGTTTTCATCACTTAATCTTTCAGAGAGAATTTTCAACATTTTCAAACATTAAATAATTTTTGTTTTAAATAATAGCCACATTTTCATTAGCCGTTTCTTTAAATATTTCTTTTTAACAACTTTTCAAGAGTATTGAACTTAAATTATTCAAAGTGTTTCAAATAAATGAAAAAATTACTCCATAATTAAATTTGCCAAATGGTGTACTAATCTAGTTAAGTGATCTCCCTGGAAAAATTTCTGGCCATATCAACAGCACCCGGCTAGCCTAACCAAAAATGGTGAGCGATAACGACTTTTTTATAATTCTATTTTACAAATAATCGAACAAATGATAGAAAAATTACTTCACATTTTTTCATAATTTTAGCCTCAATATTTTTTCACTTGCTTATCGCTTGTAAATGTTGCATACGAAAATTAAATCATGAAATCATTTTACCACTTAATTTAAATAAAGGCAATTAAAGAATACTTTTATCTTTCTATTTGAACTACCACGCAGTGTTATAATCCGTTTCACTTCTTCGATTTTTTGCAGAAATTGTGCTTCTGTGATGCAAATTGATGGATTGCTTATGTCTATATAATGCCGAATTTCATCTAAGAAATATTTAAATCATAGATATATTAAAATATTCAGTTAACTAGAAATAACTAATATTGAAACTAATAATGCTTAATTTTCCGATGTATCGGAAAGATTTTGAATTACAGGATTATTTTCAAATTGAATCAAGAAATAAGCTTTTGAAATAAATATATCAAATTATCCAGAAATGTATTTGTAGTAGGGTGAAACAAACAGTTGTTTCTAGAACATTTTGTAATAATGCTAGTTTAGCGGAAAGGAGCATTTTAACAGAAATCTTGTGGGCATGATGCCGATTAGCTTTAGGACCAGTCTTAGCAATCTTTAGCTTGATTATCTGCAATAAATTAAAGAGAAAAGCTTTTTCAGTAGCCATTTCCATAAAAGCCATTTTTGAATTTTATTCTTTGCTTTGTGCAAAAATTTAAACAAATATTTTGCACTTTTCATATGGAAAATAAGTTAAATAATAGAAGACTGACCTATAGGCAGATAACCATTAATGCCTACTACAACTGCTTGTAAAATTGAGCAAGCAAGTTGCACAAATATGACTTGGCATGTTGTACAAGTAATCATCGCAATTCTTGTATTTGCTGCAACTCCTATCTCTTGAAGTCTTTTAGCACATTTTTCTACCCAGCCACATAACTCTGAATATCTCCACTGTTTACCATCTTCAAGATCGATCTAAATTCGTTTTTATGAATTGAGTTTTTTTTATAAGCTTATTTCTGAAATCTAAAATCTTGTTAGTAAAAATAAAGATTACCATGGCAAGCTGACTTCCATATTTCGCGAATTTTGCATTGAAAAATGCTGCGAAATCATTCGAAGAATTTTCCCAAATAATTTGGAATGGATTTTGAATTTCCATAAAAGCAAATGAATTTCGTACTAACAGTTAGCGCAGAAAGCTTCTATAAATAAAATATTCTTAATATAAAATTGTTCTTTAAGATCTAATTTAAAATGCATGCATAATCGTCAGTTGATCGTTTGCTCATCATTTTATACGCTCATTTTTAGAGAAATATCGAAAAATTACTTTATCATAAATAATTTTATCTTTTTTTGGCATTAATATTGAAATAAATATTGACAGGCATATAGGACAGAAAATTACTTTTTAACGCTAATTTCATCATACTGAAGATGAAGATTGATCGAGTCGAATCTGCCTTATTTTTCAAAGCAGTTATATTAGATAACCGATACAATTCCTCTCTTCTCAGCCTTTCAGTTTGATTTCAGTTTGATTATAGTGAAGATACTGCGCATGATCTGGAGGGCACAATTAAGATCTTATGATTTTAGGATTATAATTATTCTAAGAAAAAGCTGTTTGAAAATTATTTATGAAATAATTAATCGATACCAGGCCAACGAGACGCTGTGGCAAGTCTCCGCGTTAAGTACCATTATCAAAGTACACTTACTTTATGGTCGTAAACTTGGAATTAAAATCACTGCAGGGGATGGAAAAGATAAGGTAAATATATAGTGAACGAATGAAAATTGGCTCACTGAATTACATCAAGAACTTTCGTATACAACTTATAAATAGCAACTGATAATGATTGCTCTTGTGAATTCTTTGAATTCTTAGTGATTAAAATTATGTTTCTATTAAGAAATTTTGTCTCATTATAGACATGGTTTTGAGCTTATTTTAAATTCAGATAATTCATAATTCGAGTTGGAATTAATCTATCGTATTTAATTTAGGAAAGCTTTTATTTTGCCTAATATTGATTGGGTTCACAACAGTATTTCAAAAATCAGTTCGCAGATTTGTTGAATCATTGTTTGTATACTGGGTCAATATGTTAATATACTAATGCTTTTATTAGAATAATGTCAGAATATTAAATAGATATTATTATCATTATTTATTTATTTATTTAAGCAACCAAGGGTGATAAGCGCCATATGCTTCCATTAATAAAATAATAAAAAATACAATGCCAAATGAAAGAAATCAGCGGTAGCAATATAAAATATAATGAAATGTGACCTTCACTGTAGAACCATGGTAAAGAAATCCTCAAAGATACTAAATTTTATTTTTCGTTCGTTTAAGAGCAAAACTGAAGATTTTCTTATCAAAATGTACAATAGTACCAAGCGTTATATAAGCGTAGTACCAAATGTACAAATGTACAATAGTACAAAGCGTTCGTTCGGCCTCTTCTTGACTACAATACGATACGTTGCTCCTCGAGATATCGCAAATCAAGTAAAATAATTGAACGACTCCAAAAATATTTTTTACGACGCTTCTCTTCTAGCCAGGAATAATATTTTAATTATAAAAGAAATCTTTTACCATACAACCAGGAATCTCTATCAGCTTGTTGGATTAAAGAAGATTTGATTATACTTATATTTATACTTATAAGATTCTGTATAGTGTTATGTTAAACTAGATTTTTCAAAATCTTATAATTTCAGGCTAAATTTGGATCCAACAAGAATTAATGAGCTAAAATTACTAAAGCTTATGTGTAAAACTAAACTCATAAGGACTCTTGACTTCTTTATTCACACTATTATTTACTGGAATAAATTATCGAATGATGCAGCTTGCGCGTCATCCCTAGCTATCTTTAAAAAAGAATGGATAATATCATTTATGATATTATTTGAAAAATTCACTTCATGCTGGAGGTATGAAATCTCGATTTTTACCATCCGATTATATGTAATACAGTTTATTTCGAATTGTGCTGTATTATATTATTCTGTAATTTCCTCTTTTTTCCTCTTTAAATTGTTTATTTTTGTTATATTTTCTTTTTTTTTCTTATTATTAATTTTTATTATTTACTATTTTAACTGTTCTCATTAATACAAGTACATGGCGTTGTCGCCCTGCTTGGCTGGTTTTCAATAAATAAATAAATAAATTGCAATATAAGATATACCAAAATGTGGCAAAATGCTAACAGTGTAGAATAAGAGAAATAATATAATAAAAAGAGAATTACAGAACAATATGCTAATTGTATGCTGAAAGATCAGAATTTCAAACTTCACGCATAATATAAAACTTTTAAATAATATCATGGATAATATTATCTAGCCTTTTTCAAAAAATAGCTATTTTCAAAAAATAACTAAGGATGTTGCAGGATGAAGGAAATTACGTCATTCGGCAATTTATTTCGCTAATTAATAGTGCCACTGAAAAAATCATGAAATAAATAAACAAATAAAAATAAATAAATAAAAACAATAATTAATAATAATTAATAATAATTAATAATAATAATTAATAATAATTGTAATTATTAATAATAACAATTAATAATAATTAATAATAATTAGTAATAATAATTGATAATAATATTAATAATAATGTAATATTAATTAATAATATTAATATAATGCTAATATTTATTAATAATAATAATTAATAATAATAATTAAGAATTATAATAATAATTAATAATAATTAATTATTAATTAAATAATAATAATTAATTAATAATAATTAAGAATAAAAATTGATAACTAATAATAATAATTATTAATAATAATTAATAATAATAATTAAGAACAACAATTAACAACTAATAATAATAATTAATAATAATAATAAATAGCATCTTTTTTTTTTTAAGAGTACTCACCATTACTGGTTAAACTCGCTCCACTGGCCTGTCGCATTGGACAAACATACCAGCAAGCCCCTTGACGACAGAAATGCAAGTGAGTCGCCAGCATCACGCGGATTTCTGTACAGGTTTACTCCTGGAATCGATGCTCAGCATCGGCGCTCCAAATTGCGCAACAACCCACTGAGCAATGCAATCACCAATAAATAATATTAATAATAATAACAAAATGTTTAATAATAATACTGGTAATAAATAATGATAAATAATAATATTAATAATAAAAATAAATATAATAATAATACAATAATAAATAGCAATATAAAGTAATAATAATAACAATAGAATTCCAAGGCACAAACATACAATTTGCTCGCGAGATAATTTGTCAAAACCGTCAAGGGAGGCGAGAACCTATCCACTTCATAAGTTCGGTGAAGTACTGGCTATAGCTGCTTGGAACGTCAGAGCACTTATGGATGTTTCAAGCCAAACATTCACTGTCCACATCCTCTCTAAATAGCGTGTGGATGTGGTTTGTTTGTCGGAGATTCTTTTTTCTCATGTGGGCTTTCGAGTAATTATCAAATCTGGTTCCAAGCAAAAATATTAGCTATATCACTGTGGTGTCTCAGATTCAGGGCGAAATGGCTTGGCGATTGTTATGTCTGAAAAGGCTCCGCTCTGATTGAGCAGAAACCAGTAAATGACCATATGGCTTACATCAGTTTCAAGACTAAGTTCTGCGATATTTCAGTCATCAATATATATGTATAAACTTTATTCGCAAATTACTGCGATAAAGATAAGTTCTATGTGGAGCTTAAACTCTTAACAACATCTCTACCGAGAGGTGACATGATCATAATCGAGTGACACTGGAATATGCGCATAGGTCATGATATCGTTTCGACGAATTCGGTAATTGGCAAATATGGCCCAGTATCGGGGCCCAGTATGCCAATGGAGAACGCCTTCTTCGTTTTGTTGAAGAGCATTGACTTTTTGTTAATAATACATACTTTCGGCACCGGAGGAAACATCTAGTCACGTGGAACTCTCCAGATCAATATTCTTACCAAATCGACTATATATTGATCTGTCAGCCCTTGAAGTTTTGAAGTTTTGAACTTGATAGTCGTTCTTATTGAGGAGCTGAAACTGGTAACCGCCATGGATTAGGCCACGTTATGGTTCGAGCCAAAATTCGTGACAAGTCGTAAAAAACAACATATCCCAAGATCTTTCAATTATCTCAAATTAAAAGGTCCGGGAACAATAAGCATTTTAAACCGTATTATTGAAACATCTCAGTGAAATGAACGTCAATAATATCTTTGGAAAGGCGAATGAATACTGGTCCCAACAAAAGACATGCCTACAAAAGTCACTCACCTCCACACTAGATTATATTAATATGAAGTGCGCTACTTGGGCCTCAGAAGCAACTCTCCAACTGATTGTCTGAAAAAGTTGCCAACGCCCGAATGCCAGGAGATTTTAACTCTCGGATCTTTCGAATTACAACGAAAGTACGGCGGGACAGAAATCGCTATTGGAGCGATAGGCTTTAAGAATGGAGACAGCGGCTTGGATAGGTGATAATAGGAAATATGTTTCTCCTTCACAAAGCAACTATAATTCGAGAAGGGGTCAGTGAAATGATACGGGACATTAATGGGGCGCCTATTAAAGCTATTAAGGATCGCCTCAGATGATGTAAGAATTTTTTTGAGGCCAAATTTAACCACGGTGCGCCATCTGTTGACCCGAATATAACTGATTCGCATGTCGAGCTATACATTTGCAACTGCGAACCACCTATAGAAGAGGAAATAATCTCTGTAATCCATAAATTTAAAACCAATAAAACTCCCGGTGAAGATTTTCGGGCCGAACTCTTCAAATGTCCATCATCTTCATAACTCGCCTTCAACGCTGAATTCTTTGATATGGCAAAAGAAATAATACCGCAAGGCTGGAGCAAAGTATTTCTTCCAAATTCTAAGAAAGATGACAGGGCATACTGCGATAATTACCTAGGAATCAGCCTGTCTACTGGCCATCTTTGGAAAAATTTCACTTCCCTTTTACTAAGTAGACTTATAGCAACACGAGAATATGTCCTAACCAAGCTGGATTCTGACCGGAATGCGGTAGTGCTAACTACATATTTAGAGGGGTGCTGGAATATTGCATCAAATACCCAGCAACTCACCGTCACTTGCTTTATCGATTTTGCAACTGCCTTCGATTC